GAGTGTATTAATATATATTATACACCGCGTGTCCACGAAAATAGGGTGCACTATGAACTCAGTACTCTATACATATTTTTGGATTCTGTTCGCTAAACACAAGGCTAAACTATTGGATTATAAACTTCTATAACTTCGAATTTTTTTTCATACACTGGTATTGTTTTTAATATTTCTCACATCCTTCTCGGCTTCTCCAGCTACTCTACTGATCGCTCGTCCTTAGGCATGTCTATTGTCTACCCAGCCTATCGCCGTATCCATGCCAATATTTCTTTTTTCTCTTCCCTACCTAGCAGTACCGTCGACGCTTCTGGCGTATAGGCATGAATCTCACTCTGTATCCCTGTAGCCTATTAAACAAGAAACCACTAATTTGTATACGTCTCAGCAGGACTCCACCTCGTATGGTAACATTCATTCCATACACACAATGCTTCAAAAGTATAATAAATTATTTAAATTTTTTGTGTACTTTATTTTAATATAATTTAATGTATTACACTTCTATACTTGTGATTGTAGACCATAAGTAGGTATTCCATTTTATACACTGTTTTACTAATAATTATTAATATAACTTTTATAAATTGCCACACGGTGTCACAATAAATAAATAAAATATAGAACAGATATAGAAAAAAGGCGCACAGCCTCACCTTTGGAAATTAGAATAGCGCAATTACATAGTACCAAGTTTTTAAAATTCCAATTGCAAATTATTGAAACCAAATTTTATAAACATATTTTTTTCAAACATTTAATAATGTTTAACTGAATTCTTAAAGTATTTTAATTTGGTACTTCTAAGATAAATTTAAATTTAAAAAAAGATTTCTATCACAATAAGTTTTCTTAAAATCATTCAGACAACAATAAATAATTTAGCAACCTTTTAGTAACTAATTGTAACCGACATTAAACAATTTTTAACCAAACACTTTCCGAGAAAACTCAATTTCTTTTTCAGGGAGCCAACATTTTATTAAGCTCTTATTAACGTTATGGTACGATCGAGATACCCGTGTGAACTTTGTATCAACCCATCCAAAAATAATCAACAAACATCAAAATATGGTAAAGTATGTAATTTAAAAAAAAAAATAGGTATGGACTTATAATTAGTGAGTTTTCTTAAAAAAGTATGAAAATAGAACATCATAAACACAAATTTATTGGATCATAAAAAAAAAATAATTATTTTTATATTAATTTATTACTAGAGATAAGATTTTGGTGACTTGCATTTTTTTTCTTTAAGTGCTATACAGTTCTAACCAAAACTAAATTTGTTTCGTGTTATAATAATTATTTTATTATGTAATAATAATTTTATTGTGTAATTTTCATTTTTATTTTTTTTGCATTTTATTGCATTTTTAGCTCATGTTTACAAATATTTCGTTCATTTTGTGTACTTAAACTAATTTTTGTTTATTTTAAGTTTTTTTAATATGTGTTGTATGGGTTATTTCAATTAGAACCTATGGTACCCTCATAAAAATAGTACCTTTGAACTTACGTATATCGAAAACATATCATAATATTATCGCTGTTATATACTCGTCTTCGATAAAATTATTGTCACCTGTCAGCGAATCGGGAAAATTGAAACTATATTAATAAAATAATATAAAAAATATTTTAAACCTAGTATGTTTGTAGGTTAACTGAGTTGTTGGAGAATTGGAATTCGGAAAAGTGGGTATGAATTGAAAAAGTAATATAATTAATTAAACTCACAAATCAACTCAAATTTGAATATATTTATTTAATTTAGTTCTTAAAACAAATTTTTACCTTTCTTGTGTAGAATAAAAATGAACAAATAATAATTAATAATTATTAATAGTATTTATTTTAAAACTAAAATTTTTTCTCTCATCTAAGTTTATTTTTTGGTCATTTTTTAAGTTAATTTTTTTAGAGTTTTTAGATTATTTTTGAATTTTTTTTTAGTGCATTTTTGTGCATTTTTTAGGTCATTAAAATCCTAGCTCCATTTATTACCTATCTTTTTGGTTGAATCTCCATGTATATATTATTGTACAATCTTCATTATAAATATATATTCTTGACTGACTGATCAACGTAGAGCCTAAACGCTTATGATAGATGGGAACTTTACATCGTTATGGTACCTTCCTACAACCTTGTTGGGGTGCACTAAGAAAGGATGTTCTAATATTCTCATTTTAAAGAGGCTCTAGTGAGGTTAACTTCACACAAGGATTTTGAGATTCAAGATGGAAATTGAAAATTTATTTTTGTTTGTACATGGTGGCCATTGGTTATTTGGACAAATCATAAAGAATATTGTAAAAGCATCCATCAAAATGTCTCGTTCACATGGCTTAGCTTAAAGAAACTACAAACCATCTTAAAACCAAATGTTTATTTGTAGCCTATATATTTAAAAGCTGCTAGATTTTGGCGAAAATCTCGGTGATTATTTCAGAGATAATAGAAAAGTTTAGAGAATAGTTAGAACCACTAAATAAAATATATTAACTGTAAAATTCAATCCTAGACTTCCGGTTATCCATTGCCTATCTAGAGCGAATTATTTCATTAAGCAAGGTACACCAAATCCAATTTTTCTTATGCTAAGGTACACTAAATCCGAGATACACTGTACAATTATATGCTGGTGTTTTATATTCGTTCATTTTTTTCACAAGCAAAGTAGGGTTATGCATCTATTTAAATTATAACTTAAAAAGTGTTCCAAATTTAAATTTTAAATAAACAAGCGTAGCTTAATAATTGTGGTAGAATTATATAAAAAAACGATACGCATAACATGTTCACATTACATATCTAAGGTTAGATAAAAATGTTTACAAAAAACGATCCAACACTATAATTTATAAAATAAATAGTACGTACCTACCTAGTTAAATTATTATAAATATATGGATAAACTTTTATATAATATTATATAACCAGTTTTAGGTAAACTACCAAATTTAAGTTGATTTTTATGTAAGCCTGTTTTGATATGAAAATGGAAATTAAGTAATACACTTATACCTATACAAACAACCAATAAGGTACAATTGGTATTGTAAATCACAAAGTGGCTCGAGTGAGTGGTGAGTAAAACAATATAATTATATATATCAAATATCGATAGAATTCTATTTCTGTAGTGGCCATATTGTTGGAACTGTAACAAAAAAATGATTTATTATTCCAGGTTGATATATTATGTGAATTACAAATACTATTTATTTTGGGGAGCTATGAATCATTTTGGGGTTAATCATAATTCATAATATTATGCTTGCCTTTAGAATTGTAATATTGGATATTCTGAAATTGTATATAAAAGAGTATAATTTAAAAAGAAAAATTCAAGGTTGTAGTCGTACCTTGAACCTTGTACATACTTAATACTAACAGAAAAAAAATTGATCCCTGGCTGCATACATTTGACTGCCATTTGTCAATATAAAACTGCAAGTTTGAGTTTGATACAACGCTGTAGTGGGGCTTTGTGAATTAGCTCCAGCTTGAAAATGTAATTCTGATACAAATACAAATAACCAATACATATCTTGCCCGAATATAAAGTTAGGAAAAAATAAAAATGCAAATTTATTGACAAAATGTGATGTAGGTTTGATAGTTTATTATACGACAATGTGGTGGGGCTATACGCATTTTTTCATCCACAAATTTAAAATTAGATTCAGCGTAAATACGAATGGGTAAGCAAAGTAATAATACAATAATGAATAAAGGAAAAGAAAAAAACTCTCTAGCCAAGGTCAAGGACAATTATGATTAGGGAAGAGGGGTTTATTTGTATGTTCACTTACAATAGGTAGTTCATAAGTGGGTGTTCACAAAATTAAACAGATTACAATGAAAGTCCACATTTAATTTTGTTATTGTATGCTTGTTACATAATTAATAACTGTGCTTTTTTCTTTTATATTGTATGTAGGTACTTAATATACTTATCCACCAAGTGTATATTTGGTTTGTAAAATATTAACAAATAAAAATATATGATATCCTTTTAAAATATACAAGTAGGTACTCAAATAGGTTGATACCTAACTCTTCAAACACAAGCTTAGGCTTATAGGAGTTGTTTATTTTTTCAGTATTTGTACTAGATTGTAACATATGTGTGTATTATTTACTATATAGTATTTATAAATAAAATATATTAAATTATATGTTTTGTTGCCTGGTGCCCCGTCAAGGATCGTCTATCATCCTACTCCCCTGTAGGTACTGGATGACAAACAGTTTGGTAAAAATCATTTAAAAAATATGTTAATTTCACTTAACAAAGAAAAAAAATTGACCGAATCGAATCAGTGGGTTAGGTATTAATGATTGCTGGAACAGAAAAAATGGCGCTATGGAAGAATAACGTGGTTTCGACTTTCGTTGTGCTTATAGCCTATAATAATAATTTAAATAAGATAGGTAATAACTAATTAGATACTTAATGACTTAGGTAGTAGGACATATTGTTTGATATTCCTTTAGTTGAATGTAGATATAATAATTTATCATAAACATATTTACTTAAATAAAATAACAGTTATTAGGTACAGTGTGAATCTGAGCATTCGTCTGAGGGGTGCATTCTTCTTCTTATTATTATTATAAGTAAATAAAATACCTATTTATTTTTAAACTTATATAGGATATAATATGTAAATATAATCCCTAGAATTATTGACGAAAAAAACATGGAAAATCTGAGCATTAAACTCAACAGTTTGGAATTAAATGTTGGTGTAAGTAAAAATTATAATTAATTATTCAGATCGATAAGTACTATAACAAAGTATAAAAATTAAAAATAATACAAGTTTAATATAAAAACTAACATCTACAATATAATATACTCAGTGCTAATAATATATAGGTACTAATATAATAAAAAATAGATATGTAAATATGTAATATCATAGTATTGTTTAATAAATGTATACTTTCGTATTATAATTATTAATTTCTTATTGTTGGGTAATTGTGATTTTTCTATGTTCTTATTCTCGATGTTTATTTTATGATAATTGATTTAACTTAAAAATTCTCTACAATTTTTTTAACAACAAGATATCTTATAAAACGACCTGAATTTTGTCGATAATCTCAGTTGAAATTAGTCGAGACTTGAGTTATTGTAAGTCGTTTGTGGTTCGTGTACAAGTTTACATTAGGTAATTTATTATATATTAGGTCCTTAAATTTGTTTTTCAAGTAAAAAGAAATGTAGTAAATATTGTAGCTATTAAGTAAAAAGAAATTGAATAGGTAATAGTAACCCAATCAATCAGTTGTATACTTGTATATCATACTACAATGCATACTACAATGATCGTATTACTCTAACGATGTCACTCGTATTGTATGGTACCAATAGACGGAGGACAAAGCATCGTCACCGTGGTCGGAACCACCGCGGACGATTCAGTAGTTCCACAGTTGCCATAATTATAATATTTCGACCGCAGCGACGATTTCGGAGACGCGGCCGTCGCTTTGTTGCTCAAAGGCCTCGTGATCGGAGGCCTCCATCGGCCACCAGCCTCTGTCACTTGGTTGGGCGGCTTCGACGCATTACGCTTGCCGTGCGGTGTTCGCGCCGCCGCTCGTCCGGAGTGACGTCGATTGCCGTCGGCAGCGGCAGCGGCCAAATCACTACTCGGCATGGCGGCCAACAGCAGTCGGGCCACCGCTTTTCGGAAGTCGCCTACGCGGTGCTCAATGTCCTGAATACTCCGCACGGCATTCACACGGTGCTCGCGTACGGCGCGCAAGCACAATGCGACCACATCGTGACCAGCCGTGTCCTGGCCGTCTGCTCGGGCCACCGTGGTCTCGGCCCTGTCCGGTGTCCTTCGCGTGCCCGGGGCCCCCGCCCTGTCCAATCGTGCGAACAACGCGAAACAGGATCTCTCGAGCCGTCCCGCGATTTCAGTGACCGCCGACGAGCCATACCGAAGCGGTGCTTTTTTACCGACACACGTCGCGCACGTCTTGCACAACAGTCTCCGCAACGCAATCTGCTCGCGCTCCACCTCGCCGATGGCCGTTTCCATCAAACGCCGTATCCTGTTCAGATACTCTTGGCACGCCGTCACCGTGCGCTGGGCCTCCAACAACACGTCGGTTTGCGGACGTTTTCCGCCGCTGGTCTCGGGTGGGTGTTGCTCGGCCCGTCCAGTTGTCGTCCGCCTGCGCACGCGCTCCGCGATCCTCGCACACTGCTCCTGCATAACTCGCAGCTTGTCCAACACCTGTACCGGTTCGGCATCGTCCAGCACGTCCGACGACATCCGTCCATCACGAGACGGGGACGGGCTGCCCGACGACTTTTCCCTTAGGTATCCGGACATCAGTCTGTTCAGCGACCTGGACGTCCGGAGCGATTCACGCCGGTACTGCGTGCCCACGTGGTCAGCAAGCGCGAAGAATCGCCGCCCTTGCTTGGAGGGCCCAAGCCGGCGCCTGGCCACCCCGACCGGCGGCATCGGTGGTGTTGGCGGCGGCAACGGTGGTGACGACGACGATGGCCGCTGACCCGCGTTCAACACTTCCATCGCAAACCCGCGGTACCGGCCGTTAAGCTGCTGCCACCTGGCGTCCAGCCGGTACGCGCGCACTGTGCTGGCCGTCCGCCGCGCTCTCAGCTCGTTCTCCGCGCGATCGTGCACCATCTCGCGGCGGCATTCGGCCGCCGACCGGCCGTGCAGCACGGCCACCAGCCGACCGTGCGCATCGGACTGCCGCTTGGCCAGTTCCGCCGACCGGCGCCCGTATTCTGCTACCGCCGTATCCAGCTTCACTCGGTCATTGGCTATGCACTGACACAGCCTTTCCGTCGTCCGTCTGCACGCTTGCGTCTCGGCCCGGACCACCTGCAGCTCTCTCCGCCGTCGTTGCGCCACCCCGTCCACCGGCTCTTTGCGCACACCTGCACCTCGTGCCACCGATGACCACGCCATGACACTACGACGTGAAGGAATTTAACGTTTTATTGTGCACGGTGTATAGACTATAACAAACAATATACAACAATAATAGAGAAAATACTTAATATTATGATGTCACAGATTTCTATTATAATACTACACCAGATGGAGAACTCATTTCATCGAACGGATCTTGGTGAGCCGTTTTCCCGCGAGTTGGCTATCTGACGAATTACGGACATATACGACATACAAATATTATACTGATCGGTGTACTCGTATTATTCAAAAGCAGTTAGTTGTTTGTATATTCACAGATATTGTTGTTCTTATAACCAAAAATTGATGGACGAGCTTAAATTAATATTCATTGATGATTGTATACTCCACCATTGTAGTTTCCGCCTAATATAGTATTATTGAAATTTCTGAATATTACATAATAGTGGTCAAAATTGAGCGGGATGAAGTTATCAGGTACATTATAAATCATAATTGAATTCGAAAAGTTATTCTGAGTAAAGCAGCCACATAATTTAACCATACCGATCGTGTGTAGCATATCTGCAGTATATAATATAATTTACTAGTAGGTACTTGGAACACACTCAAACCATTAACAGTCGATCATTTATAAATTATTTTAATGGTTATTTATGATTATTAATTAAATCATCTTTAATCACAATATTAATAAGTACAAAGTATATGAATTGAAAATATATTTTCAATACATAAAGTATTTTGATAATGCTGTTCCAAAAAAAACGAACTTGTAAAAATATAAGTGGTTATACATTTATAAGTTTATAATTAACACAACAATGTAGGATAGAACCATAGCAGCGCCACTTAACTAGGAATTTACTGAAATTAGTCTTCCATAAATAGGTATATATATATGAAGCTTAGAATCTCCGACACGGCAGTCTCTTAAAAAATGATTATACTCCTTGTACTATTATAGAATATTACAGTCTTGATGAAATTTCCCAACTCAACTATAAAAAGTGTACACAATTATAAAAAACTTTTAGATTCATTATCTACTATGATAACAAGTTTACAAAAAAAATAACTATGAGTGTCTAAAACTATTTTTTAAATAATCATTAAAATAATTGAAAATTCTAAGACAACAAAATTTAAATATTCCGAAATAATTAATATACCAACAGAACCCACAAAAATGCAAATTATTTTTAATTTGTATCCCATTTGCTCGTTGTGGTTTTCAGTTTTAACCTTCTAGTTTTGATATTTTTTAATTTAAAAAAAACCGAAATTGTTTTTCCGAAAAACAACCCTGCTAGATAATATGTGGTAAATAATTGTCTTGGATTTTTCTTACAGTGGTATAAGAAAATTCGAGAAAAACAAAAAAATCACATTTAATTTGCAGTTATCTTTTCTATAGTAATTATGATTCTCCTAACAAAAATACAATTATTAAAAATATTCACAAATAAAAACATAATGTGTTAAGTTAATAATGTTTAAATATTTGTGTAATATTTATTATTTTTTTCATATTAGAAATATTTTTTAAAAATAGAATCATGTCACTAATGCACGTTGTTAACAATTGCCTACAAACCCTCAATAGGCCTAAAAGGTATAACACAATCAAAATAGATTTTTTTAGTCATTTTTCCCAAACTCAGCATTAAATTCTCGTAAAGAAGTTTATTTTTTTTTCAAATAAAATAAAAAAAATCATGTGGTGTAATCTATTTGTTAAATTAGTATTCTGCATACAAATACTTGAAATACTATGGGAAGCTTTTAAAATAGTTTTAAGAAGTAACTTTTTGGGAGTACCTACTAACAATAAAACATTTAAATATAAAACAAAGTGCTTCTAAGCTCATTTATTCTAAAGAATTAATATAGGTATCGATATATAGATATGAATACCTGCAGGTACAACTGTACAAGCACACTATAGAAATATAATATAATACAAATTTTAACAACCGTTACATGGTGATAAATTACAACATTTTTAAATGTGTTTAGACGATGATGTAATCAATATTATTGTCATCCTCTACACAATATAAGATTGTGTTTTCGTTAACAATTACCTACAATGATATGATATTATTGTTTTGGTTAGAACAATGCAAGTACAATGCTATATTGTACCTATATCTAAATGAGATAATATATAATATCAAAATAATAATAGAATGTGTAGATGATGTGAACGCAACGACGTAATTTTAGTCTATTAAATGAATCTAGATTGAGTAAGTTTTAATTATTGTCTAACTCGCGGTCGCCAATTAAAAATGTTATATTACTATAAATTCATAATACTTAATATTAAATGTTATGTAATTTTAAAATCAACTCCTGTTTAATTGACCGTGACATATATATAACCTATAACAAAAGTTCGGTATTATTGTTGATTGATTATTGATGATTTACATTTAGGTAATAAAACTCAGTGAAAATAATAATAATACAATAATGATTTTAAAACTAATACATTTTTGAAAATCCTTCAAATAATATAAGGTTTGTTGTTATAGAACATTATTTTCGTGGTTTTTTGGTGTCTATAATAATGTATACAATAATATATGAAATCGGATATCGTTTGTTTTTTTTTTTTTTGTATGAATTACAATTCTGTAAACTATTACATTATTTACATTGGATAGATATCTAATGTGCAACGTCAAACCACAGCACTGAATGCATTGCTACCCTACAATGATTATTGGTCCATATAAAAGAGAACAGTGATAATTAGTGCGCAACAATAATATGGTATAATTATTACTGCAACCGTCTTGGTTTCACTAGCGCGATAATTATTTACTCTGTAATGTACCTACGTACATTATAATTAATGTTATTTTTTTTCGAGATTTAAATTTAATACAGCCTTTGAAAATCTCAGTTTCGTGATCGTTGGTCACAGGAACGATTTCTTTTCGTAATTTAGTAAGTAATTTAACTGTCTATATTGCTTACAATTGTTTTATTGCTCTTTTATATTAAAATGTAGCAGCTAAATACTGGGAAAACAGAGTCATTCTTCTTAGTACTTGTGAATGTTACATTATTTTTAAATTGTATAGAAGACATAGGTATCCAAATCGTATATGAGAAATTTCATTTGATATTTTACATGATCTGGTTATTGGTTTTTAGTTTCAGATTTATTTTATCAGCTCGTTAGCACGCATATTACAACCCACCTACTTCTACAGTTATAGACGGGTACCTAACCAATAGTAATACTTAACTAAATGTCAGAGTGTATTCATTTTTTTTTTTTTTTTGCGTGAAATTGACTGGAAAAACGATAATATCAATAAAATATGTATAACTAACATCATTTCTGTTTATTGCATTAATTGTGAATTATGATACATTTATTTTGTACACATCTTGTAATTATCAATAATGTTGGGATTTGTAAAAATGTTTATAAAATGTAGATAACAAAACACAAATGTCCCTATATACAGGCTACATGTAATGTTGGAACAAAATTCGTTGTACAGAAAAAAATTACCCAATTTCACATATATATATTATATTTTAAATTTATTTTCCACTTTAATATATTATTTAATAACTTACTTTGTAGATCAAATATACGTATATTAAGTTGATGCACACTCTGTCTCCGCTCATAAAACGCTCATGGAATGCGATTATTTATTATTGCTTTCAAATTTACAATAAATAATATACGAGAAGACCACTATTTTGTGCTAATGTGAGTCGATCGATATATGAATGCCCATGCCTCGGCACTTGGTCTCGAGAGGAATCTCCGTCTTATAATTAATAGTATTATTAAATATTTTAAACATTTTATACTTAAATGGGTTATTCATTTTTAATCTTAATAATCTAACTTGGAATAAGTTTCCAACATAATTTATTCAAACATATAATTCACATATAAGATACGTGTATACCTACTGTTATGAATAGTATTGCGTCTTAAAAACTTTAGTAGATGTTCTCTGATTCCTACTAATTTCTGAATTTCATATTTTTTAATTAATTTATTGTAAAAAATATCAAAGCTTAAAAAAAACACATCATGCAACTATCATTTTTTTTATCCGCATGTCAAGGATTTTTCATAGATACATAATATACAGAATACTGGTTAGTTTAATATGTTACTTATAAGTTATAAGTAAGTTATAACTCTGAGAGACGATATTAAAATGGTTACACTTACAAAATAACTTTCTAATAATAGTGTGTACAGACTTCTAAGAGTCTTCTAAAACTACTAATATTCTGCACGTATAGACGGAGAAGTATAGATACCAAAATACGTACACAAAGCGTGAAGGAATGAAAGCTGCAAATTGTAACGACATAATGATGTAAACGTGTAACATATTATTTCTGTCCCCTCCTTGATCCATAAAAAACTCACGATAAAGTACATCGAAATTTTATGCCGGAATTGACCAACTAAACAATATGAAAGTAAAAACAAACAAAAAAGAAAATTACAATTTTAAGTTATTTTACGCTCCGGTCGTCGTTTCCAGTGCCTTCACATATTATGCGCAATTTCTGTTGGTAGTTGTAGTTTTTAGTTTTTACTTGGGTATATAAATTACATATAATATAATATACCTAATTTATGTACCTATTATATAATTGGCTTTATTTGGTTTGATATTTCATAATTATTATAGTATTATTGTTGTGTCGTGTCTAAAAGTTATTGTTGTTTTAAAATCTGTATAATATATGTTTTATTTTAAACTTAATAACTTTTTTGTATTGTAATTTAAAAACTACAACATGCTTAATATAGTCATCTGTAGGAATTATCATATAAATTTCATTTCTCAACACTATAACTGCAGTCTGAGTGGTTCTTTCCGTGCGAAATAATTATCACAAACAACTTATTGGAGTGTTTCATCCTCTTAAATTTGTTATTTGTATGTACAAAGATCATATTGTCATATACTGATAAACAATAAACTATAAAGTAAGTCAGGACATTGACAAGTTAATTAGTTTAAGTTAAATTAGTTTTAACTAAGTTGCACAACAAATGACTTTCTTTTTTTTTAAAGTCAGTTCGGATTTAATTAATTAATTTTTTTCCCGTGATTTGCAGAATCACTAATTAATTAATTAGTCACGTTAAGTTAAATTTTTCATAATTTAATATGCAAACCTTATGGGCTTTAAATGTATATTATCATATACAAACTGCACTTTATTGTTTTTTTTAAATAAAAAACAAATTATCAGAAACATTATTCACACTTAATATTACATAAGTGTACATCATAAATAATATAAATAGTATAATATCAAATTGTTGAAAACACTAATTCTAGATTCCAACGATATCGTCAAATACCAAAAAAACGTATACAAATGCAACTATCTACCTACTATATATTTAATACGTGAAACGACTAACTGGAAACATCGAACAAAGCTACCTATTTGTATATTATAGTGTATTTATAGCTATATGAACAATAATTGTAATATTGCATATTATTCAGAACATATAGTTACCTGCATTTAATTATTCAAATCAGACAGAAAAGTGATACGACCATTAGGATGTTCTCTTTGTATAATATATTGTTTTGTACATATACCTATTTTTGTTTTTGTGTTTTCGTATACTTTTATCTGATTAGCTCTTTGTGCTTCTATTGGATGTACCTATATGTAAATGAGTGAAAAAATATATAAGTGATTTTTAACCATCCCAAATTCCTTTTTTCTTATTTACCTAGGTATACAAAAAAAGAATTTACTTATAACTTTAAACTCATCTCACATTTTTTCCACTACACCTTAAATTAATGAGTTGAAAAAAATTAACCAACTTGCTTACGGGATTACACACTACATTCGTAGTGTAATCTACCTACCTACGCTAAAACGATTTAATGTAATAATCTAACGTTTGACTGTTGCGGTAAGTGTATAGGTATTAAACTATTCTAAGAGCGACCGCTGCAACGGCCCCGCCTAGTGTTTTACTACGCCGAGACGCGCATAATAACAACGACGACGATAGTAATAATAATGTTGTGATCATCAAGTATTACGATTATTATAGCTTAATACAATATATTATTATTATAATATGTGTACACGACGGCGACTACAACAATAGGAAAAACGCGAGCGCGCGGAACCGCGTTCACCAGACCGCCGCGTTTGTGCCTATATACCTATGGCAGTGTGCACTGTGCCTACAAGAGCAAGTAGTGTATGTAATATTATTATTATTATTATTATCATTATTGTTATAAGAGTTTTCACCGGAATAAAAGTCGACGCTGCACACGGTCACAACACAACCTGTGAGTATATTATATATTGTGATAAAAAATACTATTGCTATATTATTGCTATTAATATATTATTTGCGCAGTGGTTTTCGATGATACACCGCGGGCCGGGCCGGTCTCATTATCATAATATATATACGGTGGCCGCCGATCTGCGCCGAGAACATTCGCATTTGGCACACTAACCGTTTTAGACCGAGTCATTCGCCGACTCCGCCGGAGCAGAGTGCATTAAACCGAGCGTTTATTATAATATAATAATAATAATAATAATAATAATAATATAATGTATATATTGTGTATATTATAATACGTATGTATATGCGTATAGTTCAAACCTCGCCGGTTGCGCGGAATAATATAGTGTAGACGGTGCGCCAAATAACCCGACCCCACCCCGCCACCGGTAACTACCGCCACTACCGCCACTGAAGTACCGAACTCGTATATTATTATCGTAATGATACCATTACAATATCGTAGGCTTTCGGTTGTCGGACGACCACGACCACCGTTAACCGAGCATTATATACCTGTACTTGCCCTTACCACCTATATACGACGGCGACGGGTCTGCTGCAGCGCTGTTCAGATAGCTGTCGTCGTCGCCGTAGTCGTCATCTCGTTACATCCGTTTCAGTGGCATATCTAACCTCCTCCCGCTCGCGCGAAAACATCTCCAATTCCGCGCCAGATCGTCTTGTCCGCGAAGAACACCACAGTAAGGTTTCCGCCCGCGTTCACGTCCCGCCAGAGTATTCGTCCGCTGCAACAAAAGGTCTGTAACGAGATTTTCACAAAAAATTTAAAACTTATTATGTATAGTGTCATCGTCGTTGCACGCAGTGACCCAGGTGTGATCCCGTCGAAATAAAATCATATTTTATTCAAAGCGATTTTACACAAAATAATAATACATTTTACACATGCGGGATCCGTGATCCGCTTTTAAAGTCTCTTCGCATGCAGACGTGTTTGGTTGCAAGGGATCGATTGTTCTACATAATATTTAAATATTATAATAAGGCCTTTTAACACGATATTTCCAAAATTATTATAGTCGATCAACATTTACCAAATAATTTATATTTTATGTTTAATACCCACGTCATGTGACGTATCTACAAAAAATTATATCTCTACATAAATAAGCTTAATAAATCATTAAAGTATAACGTGAAAGCATAGTGGCACGAATAAGCTTTCATTAAAATGTAGTATCTATAACAGTTTAATGAACTCATATGAAATATAATTTTACCTATTTAATATTTGTATGGAAAACTGCGACTTTGTAGTAGTTTGTACCCATCGATTAGTTTATGAAATATTTCAAAATTATTATATACACCTCTAGTTATGTTATAATTTACAATAGCTAGGTAATAGAGATATTTAAATTCGATACTGTGAAATGTATATTTGAACAATTTTATTGAAACAGTTTTACTCAATTATTGTGGTTTTATCATTAATCGGCATAAATGTATAGAAACGAGTGCGGGGAATAACTGAAAACAATGAAAACCGCTGATTCTATTGACCAGTGATCACATTTTAAACGGAACTCACTGGCCGCAGGATAAAATATACGATCATATGATATACGGTAGACAGACCATGTACAAAATATACGGAATTTTGTGTGCAATAAAACGAAATGAAATCACTTCACTTTTTAATTTTAATTAAAATATCAACACATAACATTGTCAAATAAGACAACGCGCACATAACAGTTATCCACGTCCAATAACAACACCGACACGTTTATGATTATATTTTTATTTTCCTTACGATCGTTCGAAGTCGACTGGTACCTAAGTCTTGCGCAGTTTTCACCGACAAAGTTTTATCCATATCACTTCTCGACTCACTGTTGGGGGACGTTCGAATTGTTAACTTTACAGTGCATCTATACAATTAGCTGTTACAATAAGATACATTTAACTACTTAAATCTATTGTGTATAAGCTTTTTTTTAAATATTATTTGTGTATAATCTGATGTCATTGCAAAACAAGATTTTTGAAAACAATTTATGTTTTATATTTTATATATTTTTAATTTTTCATTAATTCTTTGAATGACAACATACATTTTGAGTTTTATATTTCTTAACAGAATATTTTTCCCTTTACCAACCTACTTCGGTACATAAATACACAATATAGTGGATCAATATTTTGATCATATAAATCATAAAAACTTAAAATCCATAACTATAGTTAAAACTTCTAGTCCAGAATTGAATTTTTAAGTATCGAAGTAGGTACTCCTAAACATATTCTGCTTAGGATTATGAAATTAGTAATGTACCTATGACGTTCTTCAAAAAAAAAAAAAAGAAACTTAAAAGCTAATACTAATATATATTATGTATAATTGTAAAAATACATTTTTGTCGTTCAGGAATGTCAATTTGTAATGATATATAAATATGTAAAAAAAATATTGTCAAAAAAGTTAAAACTTTTCGAAATGATAAGTGTATAGGCACTTGAACGAATAGCCTTGATGCAGCCTGCATTCCTTTTTTACAACTGGTGAATCGATGACCCATAATTTTAATGTATAAACTACGTGCATCACGCCTATACGACCCTATTATAAACTATAATACTTACGTATAAAGCCAATAGGTGCAAACATTTTTTAGTAATGAAATAATTATTCTGTTATTATCTCCGAGTTTTTTTTTTTTGATCATCGACAGATGGCGCTAAAGATATGGACATTTCTGTTAGTAATGTCGTTGCCGGCTGCTGAGCATGGACGCAGTTTCGGTTCATTGGCGGCTGTAGTATTGGGCAATATCGATTACCACCAAATCCAACAAAAACTGTTCAGTCCCAACGGTATCGGTGACGGTAAAATAAGTAAGTCAATATATTAACTTCGTCGCCTCGTATTCTGTTTTAAAAAAAATAATGGCAATTTACGTATACCTGCACTAGCTGCACCTCCCTCTACAATGATGCAATTGAACAGTCGTTTGAGAAACTCGACTTGTCCTCTCTACAAAATAGTTTTTAATAGCGGTTCAAATCGTAGAAATTAAAAAAATCTCTGTTCCAGGACATGTTATTTTCATTTTTATGAAAGTTTGGGTTTTGAGTTTCTCAAACCAATTCATATTATGTGTACGGGTGAACTGTGTGAAAAAAGTCTGAGTTTTCATTTACTTTTCTATGGTCGAGTTAGTAATTGTTACTCAATATTACTGTCCAGCCTTGTTATTAATTTTGAACTAAAATTATATAACAATAATATTAAATGTAAATTAGATTTTAATAAGACGTATGGATGATTGTTTTACATACCTAGCTGTTCTTCAGACATAATTTATTAATTAACCACTGTTTTCGTGAAATCGACATAATGCCTTTTATTTTATTGTGTATTTTCCATTTTATATATATATGACATATTTAAAATACATGTTCTATGCACAATTAATGCATTGTTTTGGTCAATTAAACGTTTTGAAAATTATATCCTACATATTATTCAATACCGATAAAGTGATAGCGGAATAACGCTATTAGTTCAAGTAAACTATATCGATCGACATACACATATTATATGCGCTGAACGTCCTCTGGCTATACCTGGTTATTGGTCTATTAACTATCACAGCGGTCCTAGAATAGGATTCCTCGTCTCTGGACGGAATTATTCGTCGATTTAATTATTATAAGCCCATCCTCTTCATCGGTCGCGTTTATATTGTGTTTAATAATTGTATCTGTTTCAGTTGTGCCTGCAGTGCCGCCGACACTGTGGTGGACTGGCCATCGGGTGGACAAGCGCGCCGCCCCTAAGATAACCAACAAGAACCCGTTCGCGGCGGCGGCCGCGTCTTCGTTAACACCGTCAGCCGACGGCCGGTGCATGGCCCGCGTGCAGTCCGCGCTTGGTGACATGATGTCCTCAGCGACGAGCACCAAAAACGGGAACCGACGTCACACCGCCGTCCCGCAGCCGCCGTCCGGTTTCATGGATCTGTCTGGTTACGCGCTACACCAACGATTGAGGACCGCGCCCGGCGCCGAAATGTACGTGACCGGGATGCGCGCCAAAGTGATGCCACCGCGCGACGCCGCCGCCGCGGAATCGTCACCGAACGGCGGCGACACCGGTGGCTTCGGTGGCGACCGCTCGTGGGCTCGAGTGGACGGGTGTCGGTATGATCCGCTGGGCAACACACTCGAGGCACGCATGCGGTTCGGCCGCACGTTGATGGTGTCGGGCTCGGTGAGGCTATTGTACGGAGGTGGTGGAGGCGGCAGTGGAGTCGGTGAAACCGGATGTGACATGACGCTACGTCTCCGCCCCCGGGCTGGTTTGGGATTCACGGCCGCACCGCTCACAGTGCCGGAAAAATCGCCGCCCAACCGTCTGACAGCCATGCCAACGATGACCATTCGAACCACGGCCACGTTCATCGACCCCGAGCCCGCCGACGACCCAGCGGCCGCGTATGTCAGCGTGCACTCTTATAATTGCGTGGGTGGTGCGGCGGGATTCCCCGGCAACAGGGAACGGCCGGTTGCGACAGCCGCTTCTTCCGACCGTTACGAACAGTATTTGTCGTCCGAATTGGGCGGCGGTGTCAGCGACGAACTGCTGCTGTCGGCCGGCGGGGACGCTGACGTGGATGTGGATGACGGCGGCGCGGAGTCTGGCGGTTCCAGCGACGAACGTAGCGGTCGACGCCCATCGCCGCCGCCGCCGTCGTCGTCGTCAGCGTCTGACGAAACCGCACCCGCCGAAAGCCCCTCCGTTACCGACAACTTCCCTTTCGTCTCGGCCGGCTTCGTCAACCCGCCGGCACCCAGCCCGGAACCCAGGCTCCGCCGGATACAGTACCATAACAAACTACCCCAACACCCGCTGTTGACCATCGCCACTGGTCCTGCCGCCACCAACAGTGCGCATCACCAGCAGGCACAGGACCAACTCCTCATGGAAATGGAAGACGTGTTCGTCCGCGGAGTTCGGTCACTGTTGGCCAAACACATGGAGCGCACCCTGAAACCCGTCTTGAAGGATTCACTAATGGCCAACATGGGTTACACAGTGTCGTACGGTTGACGTGTTATTAATGTGACATTACAATATCTATATTACATATTATATATATATATATATATATATATGTATACAATACCTATGTATTACTCGAATTTTTTTATTTATTTTTTTTTTGTTTTATAAAATATATATTATAATATAGTACCTATACTTGGCCACATATACAATGCAATAATTTATTTTGTAATATTTATATTTAACACATTATTTTAATAATCAATCCCGTTTGTGTTGCTTTTAAACAAAACCGACGACGGTAGTCGTGTCAAACATGTTATTATGTTGTAATATATTATTATAGAAGGTGTTATTTATATCATACGCAAATTATTTAGATTCTACAATGGAGAATGCGTCATTAAAATAATATAATATATCATTATACTTGTGTATTATGCGAAAAACAAAATCTGAAAACCGTCGTACATGTCATAACGGTTATTGAGGCAATAAGTTACGTTAGATTGGTGTGAAAATATTACAAGCAAAACTGCACTTTTTTATACTTATGCCAAAATTGATTTTTGTAATAATACGATTAAGCTATCGATATTATTTCGATGTGTCGAATATGTATTTTTTTTTTTATTCATTATTAAAGCCAATGTCCTAACTCCAAAACCAGAATATAAATTACTAAATACTTATGATAATATTAAATCTTAAAAATATATTTCAGAAATTATTTACGTTTAATTATTTTTACAAGGTAATACACTAAAACGTGACGATACCAACAAGTTATTTTTAGTGTCAGATTAGTAGGTAGACGTAGATACTGCTAAGTGCTAACCAAGTTGCAAGTAAGACTAAATATTCTAATAAAAATTAGAATACAAATAGAAACATTGTATGTATGGAATAATAAGTACGTGAGTATTTAAATATAAGGGAAAAGTCCAGAGCTCGCCCTTGGTTCCAAAAAAATATGATGGTGTGATTAGTTATTAATTACTGAAAAAATGTCTGCATTTATATTTTACTTCATTATTAAGAGGTCATCGTACCCGCATGTGTTGATTCTATCTTACAATAACGTATAACATAGCAATTGATAAGAGCACCTAATTTATTTACTCTGTTATTTTTAATATTAAATGGAACTGACATATTGACACACTTTGATATATTATCAAATATTCAAATTTAAAGGAAAACATATTATCCCTGCATGATTAATGAACAAATTCAAAACGAATATAGCTTGCTACAAAATTAAAACATAAAAAAAAACTGGTTAAGTAACAGGTAAATTCATTTAAGTTTTAAAAATAACAAAATAAAATGGATTCTTGTAAAAGTAAAATTTGCTACATTATGATTTATGCATAAGCGTAACTAAGACTGAGACAACACTTTATTATTAAGATGGTAACAATAAACATATAAAAAAGTGTTTGAAGATCATTTTTATGAAAACGTAGATACTTATATACAATTAATGATTATGCAATGTTGACCATTGGATGGTAGGCAAGGAAAATTACAAATAAGTAATAATAACTGTATCTAACGAAATAACTTTTTTAGTAACGTTCATTTTATTTTATTTCAATTAACGCCATTATAACGAAATTACTTATAAAAGATAATTGCTATGCATCATGGCGTTATATATTCAACATTATTGAATGATGCATAAGGTATGACTGTGCCCATGAAAAAACCCGAGGAGAATTTCATTTAGAAAAACTTACATACATATTTTGTTCATTTTCATCTTATTTATTCTGAAAAAATGAGCTAACCATTTTTTTTTGTATTATTGGGTTTACAATGTGATGTCCATGGTTTAATTTTTGTCATCGCCTTTAGGAGTAGTAACAATGCTCCAATGACTTCCAACTTTTATGATGGCTTTTGATAGCGAATTGGTCTCTAATAGGTATTTTGGGGAGTCAAGATTAAAATATGTCTAATTATTTTTTTTATAAAATTAAAAAAAAAAACAAAATCAAGGAAAACCTGGAAGGTTCACAAAATTGGTTTTGCTTTTTAGCTTTAGGTACCTACTTTAAAAATGAATAAACGAAGATAATTTAATTTTTCACTAAATGTTTATAATAGCATTTACAAAATATAATATAATAATATTTTTAATATATTAGCTCTTTTTTTAATATTCATAGATATTTAAAACTTTTTCTGTTTTAGTTTTTTTTTTATTTATGTCTGTAAAATTTTAGTTTGTGTATAACAAACCTTGAAAATGTAATTCCTTGTTAGTTTTTATTATACTGTTATTAAAAAATATCGAAAAGGCAATTTCAATTTTTGTTGAAATAGTGTTAATAATTTTAAATTTGTATACAATTGGTTGAAATCACAAAATATGAAAATATTATTTTAAGTAAAGAAGTTATGATTTTTACAAAATATGTAAAACACCGAAGTGTTGACAATTTAATACAAGATTTCCCATAAAGTCGTAAGTTTTTTACAGTGGAAATTTTTACAAAAAAAGTTTTGCATAATGCCACATACATTATTTATAAGTATTCTATCTATATATCAACCTCCCTTAGTACCTTTTTAAGGAAGATTAAGCATTTCCACTGATCTAAGAGGCGATAACAGACATGACAATTTTTTAACAAAACACACAATATTAGTGCATATAGTGACGTCTTTGCTCTTTTTAAAATTTTAAATGTATGTTTTTATATGTTAAAAAAAGTAACGTAATTTTCAACACACTACTTTGAAAATATGAAAAGGTAACCTGCTAAAAATGATGTTAGGTAACGCGAGAGCAGTTTTAATAAATATATTTTAAGTAACAATTAACGTAATTTTATTACCCACTTTTTAAAAGTAATTTACCCTGCAACGCTGCAATTACGTTAATTAAGGCCCACGAGCTATAAATTATAATATAATAATGTTATTTTATGGTTTCAAAATCTTAGACAAGCTTTGAAAAAGAAGACATTTAGATTTCATAACAAACAAAAAACATTTAAAAAATGGGTAGGTAAGTTATGGTTTTTATATTAAAAGTTTATATTATATTATAACACTGTAATCAAAATATTATTTTAAGTAGATAAATAAAATATTATTTTTGTATATACTTAAACTGAGATAATTTTACATTTCGTGTAGGTAGGTACATCTGTACAATTTACCATATATTGTTTATATATATATTATAATATAAGTGGTTCAGATTTCCTGTACCGGTATCTGATCATCTTAGACATTGATATATTATTATGTACCCCTTATAAAGTATATAGAATGAGAAGTACATAACTTTTAGAAACTTAATTAAATACTAACAGCTTTTTAACACAATTTTATTGTACCTATATTATATTATGGGTACCCACCTGCCTAACCATAAAATATCGAATAAAAGAAAATCGGGGAAGTTGTGATTATGCTGAATAGTACCATTTGGTGGGTAGGTATCAAGTGTGTCAGTCAGGTCACTTTAATGGATGAGTTAAATTTGAATTCAATAATAAATCATTGCATAGACGAAAAATGATTTAAGTCACATAGTCAGCTTCTTATTTTTATTTCTGAGGATATTTTATAATTTAATTATATCGCAATATTATAAATAGGCAGGTAATACATTTTGCTAGCAGTGTAGGCAAACTACACTTTTTTTCCAAAAAACAGTACTTAGGTTATAGGTACATTATTAGGTATCATAAGGGTGTAATAGTGTGAATAAGATCGTGGATTAAATTAGTAACGTCTTTGTACTAATAAATTTGAATTCAATGTGATAAATCAGTTTAATATGTAGGTACTAAAACTTATTCTGAGATGAGACGTCCGTCAGCATATACTTCTAAATATATAATCTATATTGCTATTACCAACACCTTTTAGTACCTAACTAGATAATTTATATATTTATAAATATATAATAGTAATATGGTAAGTTATTTTTGCCAAACACAAATCGCATATATATTATCTAATAAATAATAATATTATTTCATATAAATAGCTATTATTAGCTAATAAGTTAATATCGATGTACAACGGTAAACTGGTGTGAATAGGTTAATGGTATAAATAATAGCTTTACAATATTCTAAATATTTTGAAAATTACATTGTGTATAGTGAATAATAATTTACGTGGTGGTGAAAAGTAGGTACAAAACGATGTAACAACGTAGACTGTACGTCTCGAAAGCACTTACCCAACACAAAAAATTAATAATAATAAATCCCACTGTGCAAAATATCATTGCTGGTATATCACCAAGAGATCACATTTTGAACTGCGAAGTTACAAAAAAGTTCTAGTTACATTTCTTAGATGTCCATAGGAATGCTAACGCCTGGTTGAGTGAAGTTACAACTGCGAAGTTATAATTTACCTTCAATAGGTCATCGCATATTAACTTCAATAGGAATTCGATGTGAGTATACATAACTTCACATGGGTGCATATTATGACTATTTTTAGTAACCTCTCCAAGAAGTTGTTCAATTACTTTTTTTAACATCTGAATGTTCCTCAGTTAATACTTCTCTGGGAAGTTTATTTTAAGTTACTTATATAATTGATAGTATGGGTATTAATAGGTACCTATAAATATATATAATGAAACCTCTAAATACCGGACATACTATAAGTATCTAAAATTTTGTCTGTTATTCAGAGTACTCAGTTTGTAGAATGTTTGAGGTTTATTCTCAAAAAAGCATTCACTATTTGGAAGTGTTTGTTAGGGGATGTTTCAGTTTCAATATAATATATTTACCAAAAAAAACAAATTATATTTATTCTAAAATACAACCTTTTTATTGTAGGAAATAAAAAAATTAGTAACAGTAGTTACAACACTTAAAAAATAAAAATCTTTATATAAAACAAAATAAAATAATGCTTTTGTATTCAATGTAATCTCACATAAATAAACTTAGATTATAATCATACAAAATTGTAATAATAATAAAAATACCTTTTAGTAATAACAATATGTAAATAATAATGAATAATTAAATAAGTTTATAAATTATATTAAATGTTTAGGCAAATGTGAAAAACCCTTTTTATTGTAGAAAATAAAAAAAAATAATAACAGAAGTTGATTAGAAT